TCTCCTGCTACTATAGCTAACATCACAACAACAGCATGTCTTGGTGAACTACTAAAGTAAGCAGATTTTTTTTTTTACCTTAATTTTACAAGGCAAGTCTATTAAGAACAGATTCTTATTCACAATAATGGCCTGACAGGAGACAAAGGCCTCCTGTAGGGAATGTGTACTGGGATTAAATAAATACCTTCAAGACCAAAGTAAAGAATAAAAAAAACAGCCAACAAGAAACATGATAACAGACTCTCCAGCTACTATAGCTAACATCACAACAGTCTACACACCTTCAGTAATGTAACCAGTACAGAGATAACAATATAACCAGGGCACAACAGTTAAAGGGAATGATGAAGACAGCAGCAGGGCGACATAAAAAAAACCTCGTCTAAGATAACGTGAAGGAGTTAAATTAGTCTGTAAATAAGTTGGTGATTATGCCTTAAGAAGTATGTCAGTAGGCAAGTCATTTAACGTTACCTGACACACAAATTGTGGCTAGAATGGCTGGAATACTGTGGCACGGTCCGAGAAAGTTTGTTTCCCATTTACAGGGCCAGAAAAAAAACGTATTATCATCCCAGTGCGCACACAGAACGGACAGGTAGTGGACTGTGAGGAGATATTTGCTGAATTTGAAAAAAAGACATGTATTGGATGAGAATCGCCAACCTCAACTTTAAGGTAATAATGACATAGTCTGCATGTGTGTCAATAAGGAAGATCATCTTTTTTTAATACAGTTACAACAGCACAATGACTATTATCATCAAACCATTGACACTTAAACCACAGCTCATCATGTAATTTCGTCTACGAGACCGAACAAAATGAACCTTTCTGGTCAACACATCACATTTCCCGTGTCCTAGATACACGTGTGTGCATAATGCATGGGGAACAACGAATGCAGCTATGCACATTTGTAAATAATACATCTGCTGTTGGTGAAAACCTTGTATTTCTTTATTTTTCACCTTCAAATATACTTTTATATAGTTTATATATCTAGTGGGGTTTTTCAGTTAACAATAACATATATGTTTTTGTGTGCATCTGTGTTAGTGGTGTGTCCTGTCTTCACTTCCTGTGGTGAAGGCTGCCCAAAATAAAGATAAAGAGGTAGACAGTGAAACGGTTCAGCAAAGTTTTCCAAAAATGGATGTTAAGTATTCTTGCTGCACCAGATTCAAGCTTAAATGTGAGATATACCAGAAGAGTTCAAGACAACAGAGGTGCCAGAGAGGAGAATCAGTTGGAGATCTTAGAAGATGAAGAGCATCTCTCTGATCCAAGTAAGTCTGACATTATGTTGTAAAAGTGCAGTTAATGTATTTAATCTGGTGCCACGGGAGTTATTATCCTTATTGAGAGAATGACAATGAGTAATAAAAACTCTGCAGTTCAAAGTGACCACTTTAAACTTCAGACAAGCATAATAAAAATTTATTTTGTCTCTGTAGAACCACAGACTCTGAAGAATCTGTGTCACTGCAGCGACTCTGGGAGTGATTTATCTCTTGATATTGGCTGGAGTCTTCATATGCTGTGAGAAATTAAGATTTTAATCCACATTATTATAACTTGAGTACCTATCTGTTTATTTTGTAACATCATGTTTTAAGCATTTTTCTCTCTGAGATAACATAATGGGTGCATGTTCATGTATTTTACAAAGACGTCATGTTACTTTCTTCAGTATTTTTTATCCAAGAGACTTTTTTGAAAAAACACTAAAACTAGTTAACACAGGTTCATACACCTGCCGCTCTATGCAGAAGAGGAAGAGAAACAGAATTAGAAAGACATCCAAGACAGCGAATAGCACTGTGGCTTCACAGCAAGAAGGTTGCGGGTTCAAAACCCTGTTGTCCCGGCCTTTCTGTGCGGAGTTTGCATGTTCTCCCCGTGTCTGAGTGGGTTTCCTCCGGGTGCTCCGGTTCCACCCACCATCAAAAACATGTTGTTAGGTTTTCCAGTCAGTGCCAGAATGAATTTCTCAACATGTACGATACAGTATCTTCTTCACTCTCTCTGGGCTTTGATCATTAATGGCAGTGTAGCTCACTTTATATAGTTCCAGCGGAGGCTGATAATCAAATGACAGTTTATAGACAGCACTATCCAGATGCCAGTGATTCAGCAAACAGATTTCATCCTCGTGGGACGTCGGACACAGCAAATGCTGGTGTTGGGAGAATGAGAACTAAGTGTGTGAATTCTCACTTTAATTGAGCATTACTTGCTGCAGCCAGCTCAGAGTCAATATATATGTATAATGACAGTCAGTCTGCAGATGGGACTCTCAACTTTTAAACAGCGGCAGATCATTCCTTATTTATTGCTTCATAGGCATGAATTATTTGGAAATGCAGAATGTTTTGGTGTTGTTGGTGTGTTTCTTATGTTTCTGTGCTTCTCACCAGATATTTCAGTCACTTTGGAAAAAGACCAGCTGCAGACCAGATACGACAAACTGTACAACAACTACAGCGAGCTGCAGGGACAAATTTCAGGTAAGAAAGGTTTCAAAACAAATAAGAAATACCATAACATACAAGATCAACTGAACACTGCATATTAAGTATACAGATACACCTCGTTATTTTTCTCAAGACATGGCAGTCCGCTACAGAGCAGTTACCAAACACTGAGGAAAAAAAACATCCAGTTAGAATAACAATATTTTATGCTGTTGAACTGTTTTGCTGTGTTTATTTCTGTTCCAAATTAGACACAAACCCTGAGTGTATTTATACAGCAAACAAGTAGCAGGCAAGAAAGATTTTTAGATAAATAGTTATTAGTTAATCAACCACAAGTCTCATCAATGTGACAGTGAATGAACACTTGTTTGACATCAAGGGAAGTGTCCTGAAGGATGGAAGAGATTTGGATCCAGCGGTTACTTTAAATTCAACGAGAAGAAAACTTGGTCTGAGAGCAGAGATGACTGTCAAAGGAAAGGAGCAGATCTGGTGGTCATAAACAACAAAGAGGAACAGGTGAGTTGTTTTGTTTTTTTTAACTGAGTGTGTGATCGTAGATGTAGCTGCCAGTGATATGTCACTATCTTTAATCTGCTTCCAGTCATCTTCCTACGATGGCGTATTAGAGCCATTGTAGGTTAAAAGGAATTATGGAGCCCAGCCAATACAAGAACTCTTATTAGATGTTCTGACATTAAAGAGTGTGGAACCTTTAAATATGAATGAACATCCAGAGTTGAAGAGGGAGCGACCTTAGCAACAACTCAGTATGGCAGAGCCTATATGTCATAAGCGTAAGTGTCCACAGTGTTGTGTAATTACTTTCTGTCAGAAGGGGGAGACAAAAGTGAAAAGAGAAAAAATAATTTTCAGTTTGTTATTAAAGGCTCTGTATCAAAAGTAGGCTACACAGATGTTAATAACAAAAGCAGTCACATCTAAGCTACTTCACCAAGCAGTATTATGAGATAACTTCTTCTGTTTAAAGACCAAATGCATAGAAATTGGGTGAGAACTGCAGACATGTATAAATGACTAAAATGTGACACATGCTTTCAAGTGGCTTTTTTCCTGTCCCTCATTTCTGCCTAACTGCCTTCTCTTATGCCTGCGCGGACTGTTGTCTTATATTTTCAATGACTGAAAACCACTAAAACCACTAATACCAACATTTCCCGGCTCAGTAATAATGATTAAAAAAAATCTGCAACAGCTCAGATATGTTGTTGTGGCTTCCTGTCTTCACCCCTGTCAAATTTATTTGTCTGTTCGGTCTGCCATCAGGCCTCAAATTGTAAGCCTGTTCATGAAGTACTGATTCAAAATAAATGTAATTCAACCTGCTTTGACTCTCTGTACTGTAGGCATGTGGTTACATGTCCTTCTCGCTTTTGTAGATGAGCAAAGAAATTATATATATAATTTCTACTGTATATAAAAGTGGTCTGCATGAATAAAATCCTAACACACATGGAATTACTGAATTATGAACGGATAAATTATTATTGTCTCTTGTCAACTACTAGAAATTTGTCATTGAGCTGATGAAGAGCATGAAGTATGGAGACTCCTGGATCGGTCTACGCGCCACAAAAAAATGGACACAAACAACATGGGTACGGGAATGGGAATGGGTGGACAGCTCGCCGCTGACAGAAATGTGAGATGTTTTAAAAGGTTTTTTTGTTTCTATCACAATTCCACTAGTTACTAAAATAAGTCAGTTTTTAAAAGTAGGATGTAAACAAATAATACAAAAACATCAATACAGTTTATACCAATTTGCAAAATTTAATTAAGTGTTAAATAAGGTATTAAAAATGAAATTGCTATTTATTACAGCTAATATAAATATTTGAAGTGAAATCTAACTAAAAATAATCAGGAGTGACAACATTTTATTTGTCCTACAGGTTCTGGGCAGCAGGATCGCCACAGCAGCCCTTGAACCAGTACGCTGCAACAAGCTGCAATCAGGAAGGGAAATGGACACAGAGTGTTTATTATGATCATAAGCGCTGGATCTGTGAGAAAGAGATTTTCTGTTTTCCTTGATGACAGAGGGGTGTGTAGTGTTGTCAAATCAGAACAGTTCACATTTTAGTCTGTGTTGCATGCTAAACAACCTGGATTGCATAGATATTGTTCCTCTGTCCTGGCAGACAAGACTAAAAACTTCAGAGCTATTACAGAGTGACAAGCCTGGTTGGAAGCAAGCGTGAAGCTTCCGGTCAGCGATCTGATGCGTACGCGGAAGTCCCTGAAACCTGCATTCTATTTAACGGCCAGCAGGGGGCGACTCTTCTGGTTGCAAAAAGAAGTCCGTCTCTATCAGAAATAATGGTAAAATGAGGCTACTTCTCAGCTGAATAATTACCTCAAGTTAAGACTTTCATAATGAGTTTACGGTCTCAGTTGCTGGTTTTAAGTCTTCAATACAAAATGATGTTGATTTAGTAAATAATGGTCCTATTTATTTTTAAATAGACCATAAAGCAGAAGCAGAGTATGTTTCAGGGCGGGATTGTCTATGATTGACAAGTTGTTACCTTGGCGACCTGTCAATCAGGCAAGAGCCGGCTCGTACCTTCCGCCGTATTGTCACTTCCTGGTTGCACAAACTCAACATGGTTGTCATTTTAGAGGTTAGAGGGTTAGAGGGTCATTTTAGAGGGAGGTTTTAGAGGGTTAAGATGTCACTGTAACTTTAGTCAACATTACAACTTGGTTCTCCTTGGTTTCGGTTTCTCTGTAGAAACATTTCCTGTTTTGGCCTGTTAATCTGTTGTGTGTGTACAAGGTGTGTCATGGTGTGAAAATGTGGTTAGATCTATTAATACATGCATATTGTTGTTGCTGAAAGAAAACCTTGTATCTCCAAATTCTATCCTTTTTAAAAAATATATATTTTCAGTTTTATACTCATGTATTAATATTGTTTGTATAAATTGTTTCATACAGTGAATCCAAAGATTTGGCAACACAGTCTCCTTACTAAAGTTACAAAAAACACAAAACTGGATCCAGAAGAGTCAAATGAATAAAAAGTGTGTGTTTCTTTGCTGCTACTTCCTCAGTGTTCTCTACCGAAACCAGACAGATGTCACATCATGCAAGACTGTCAGCAGCATCAGTACAGTTTATTATGTTAATGAATTTATATCTATACAGTTAGTGCTAAGTATACTTGTACACAGCAAAGTTTTATAGCAGCACAGTGCAGTTACAGGAAGTGAAGTGCAGCTACTGTTCAACTGTCTCAGTCCTATCAAGATGTCCTCAGATATTTCTGTCAAACCAGATTTCTCAAAGAAGGTGAGATACAACAGAAAGGTGCAGGAAGACAACATGGAGTGGGAGGAAAGAACGGTGGCTATCTACGAGAGTGCATACAATATCAGAAATGATCACACTGATCTTCAGTCACACGACGGAGGTAAGTGAGAAATTATGACAATAATATCACTCAGTTCAGCTTGTTACACTTATATATATTTCCAATCCCACGGAACTGTGGCCTGTCAGAGTCTGTTTGTTTCTATTTATCTACAGTATAGAACATAATCCAAATAACTAAAGGAAACACAAGGGTTCATTCCATACATGTAATAAATGATTTCCTGTAGATGGTCAGACAGATTAAGTTCAGGGTAAATTACTCATTTTAGGTGCTGTGTTGCTGTAATCTTCTGCCACTTTAGTCAAAATTGCCACAAAATATTTATGAACACAACCTCCATCTAATACTTTGGGCATTATTCATATTAGTTATGGTAAATATGACCATTGTATTCCCGCAACAGGAAATAATACTTTTAATACTTTTTTAATAATTCTTTACTCATGATTTTGTTTTTCTGGTGCCGAAATTTTTCTCTGTGTTGGTGTATTATTAAAAATACAAAACTGACTTAATTTTGGGTTAACACGCGTTACTGAGATTGTAACGTGTATAATATTAAAGATTTTATTTTAGTAATGCACTATATTACTGCATTAAAGCAAAAAGCAATACTTATTACTGTAATTGCATTACTTTTGTAACGCGTTACTCCCAACTGCATTTAACTAACAATCATTTCTGAGATCTAGAGAAGCATCAACTCAAGTAAAGACCATTTTACAAAAGAATGCAAAGTGCAACCACATAACAGGAAGACTTTAATACAGAGATTCAAGAGGAGATGATGCAAAGTCAGTTTAACAGCTTTTAGTTATGAGTCAGTTGTGCATTTTAATTGTCCTTTATAACTCTACATCTCAGATCGGTTCATATTTGCTTTACATCACTATAATAATTGGTCAACATAACAGTCTTTATATGATTTGTTAAAATAATCAGTGGTTAGTAATGTTAAGACTCCATTTTACAGTTGTGAACAGATGTCGACCAACCACAGATGAAGGCAGTGAAGCTGTTGAGTTAAAGGTTATGTAAACAGTGGGGGGATGATAACATGACGCATGTGGTTTTCCTTTAATGAACCCGCTCTCTGTGTGCTTTGCCACTTCCTCCAGCCGTCCAAAGCAGGCCTTTGAGAGCTGCTGCATTTTGTCTTGGAGTGCTGTGCTTTCTGACGATAACTGGAATCATCCTCCTATACATACTTTGTAAGATAAAATTCACCCCACAACTACTGACAACCAAATACTAAACCGGTTCACAATGAATGTTTAGTAAAACTGGTACAACTGGTCTATGAAGCGCATTCATGAAATGTTTTCCACCAAAGGTTGCTCAGTTACACTAAAATGTACTTTCCAGTACCCCACAACCATATCTAATGGAACAAGCTGCAAGAAGTTTCAGATTATGCGGTTCAAATGGTGCCAGATTCAGGCTTTAAACGATTAAGATTTTTAAAAATATAATACTGCCACGGCTCAGTAGGGAAACACTGTCAGTGTAAAGTGTACTAAAAACACATGAACTTTTGATGTAACGCCTTCAATGTGGGTAACTCAGACTAATGTAGCCTCATATTAGCTTTAGCTGAGCTTAAGAATACGTGTTTGCACGCAACAAAGACTATGGTTTTTGTGTCCCTAATTTTTACATTGCAGTCACACTAGGAGGGGAATTACTTAAATCGATTCTTTAAAAACCTTTACATCACATCTTTCACAGCAAAATATACCCTATACCTAAGAAACATTTTTCAGGATATCCTCTTTCACACCATTTTAGCACAGTTACTTGATGTTGCTGATGTGCATTTTAGTTCTTACTCACACGTCAGTAATCTACAATCTGAAATAGAAAGTGATGTTTAATTATTTGAAAGTAACTTAATTCTGTCTTTAGTTTAAAGTAAATGAATTAGTGTTGTTGGTGTGTTTCTTGTGTTGTTGCGGTTCTCACCAGATATTTCAGTCACTTTGGAAAAAGACCAGCTCCAGGGACAAATTTTAGGTAAACAAGGTTTCAATACAAATAAGTAAATTATTTAACATATAAATTTTCATATTGTCTAACTATTTTTTTTTCAATGTTTTTTTTTCACAAGACATGGCAGTCAACCACAGTCAGTTACAGAGCAGTTACAAGACACTGAGTAAAAATCACAGCCAGTTACAGGACGAAGTGAAGCAGCTTAAAAAAGAATCTGAAGGTAATAAAAGCTGCAAAAACTAACAGTGAACACTATCAAACCAATTCATACAATTTAACTCGACTCTGCCATTACTTTTCATCATAATTCTTTTAGAGCCTGTCCTCCACAGAAAAACTACCACATAGGTCGTTTAAGTCACACAACATTCCAACCTATGCTTACATTTATTGTGGCAGTGACCTCTAGTGGCCATACAAGGCAAACACATGACAAAGACAGTGACGAATTATTATTAGCCAGAAAGTGGAATTTTGGCGGTGGTGGTGGGTGGGGTGGAAGAATAGTAAGTTTGCCGCCCTTCACCCAGGAGACTGGCGTTCGATTCGAGTGTGAAACCACATTGTTGTTTTTAATGAAGTTAGCTACGTTAGCATTAGCATTAGTGTTAGCTATGTTAGAAACAAACAACAGTTGAACAGAAAAAAATACATAAAGCAAGAACATGTGATTTGCTCAAAGGCTCCAGAAAAGCTACAAAATGAACATTAGCTACATTAGTTTTGTAGCTTTAGCTAAACCTAAGTCAGTGTTTTTATGCATGTCGACAGGTTAACCTTCTTTTGTAGGTTTGGTCGGCCGTTATTGGAGGATACGCTCATATGAGCTGTATTTGGAACAGCACTGGTAGAAAGGCTCTATTTTATATGCTCTTATGAGTCGTTTATGGAGGTTGGTGAATACGACCTATGTTGTCGTTTAGGTTGGAGGACTTGTTCTTTTATGCTGTATCAATGCTGTTTTGCAATGTATCAATTTCTGTTACAAATGAGATACAAAACCTGAGTGTATTTTAGAGTTAACAACAAATGGCAGAAAATAGATATTCTTAGAAAATGAAACCACAGATTTTATCAATTTAACAGGGAATGACATGAAATCCATCTTTAAAACATTTGTTTGAAATGAAGGGAACTGGTGTCTTAAAGAATGGAAGAAATTTGGATGCAGCTGTTACCGTAAATTCAATGGGGAGAAAACTTGGTCTGACAGCAGATGGGACTGTTACACTAGAGGAGCAGATCTGGTGATCATAAACAACGAAGAGGAACAGGTGAGTGTGTTTGTTACTGAGTGTGTGATCTTAGATGTAGCTGCCAGTGATCTGTTACTTCTGTTTTTGACCTGCAGCCAGTCGGCTTCCTATGACGATGCATTAGGGCCATTGTAGGTGGAAATAAAAAACATTACGGAGCGAAGACAAAAAACACCTTGAATATCTCTGAGACTAAGGTTCTACAATTGAAAGAGAAAACTTGAAAAACAATGTTTCAGTAGAGTTTTGCATTATAACCATCTAAAAACTGAGGAGCAAACTGGCTCTGTTTGGGTCTTTGAGCTTTATCGGAGGTGCTGAAGTTCACATTTGTGGTGAGATTTCTGCCTGAAAGTGTTTTCAGGTAGTTTTAGTTTCCACCTCCTTGTCTCATCCTAACATACAGTCCCAAACGTGCTTCTGTGTCTGTCAGACGGTCTGAAGGGGAAACTACCACAGCAGCAGAGCAATAACGCAGGCTAATCCCCACACAGAAAAGGAAACATCCACCTGTCATCTTGCCACTCAGTTCCCTCGTTGTGATTCACTGTAAACATGTTGTAGAAGGAATGTAGAAGCAGATCTGTGTGGAAACTGTGTTACAAAACATCCACCAATATATTCTATATAGACACCTAAAGTTAGGTGAAATAAAAGTGACAATCCACCAAAACGCTGAAAGGTCAGAAGATGATAAGAGACACCAAATATCTGGGGATTTCCACAGATCCAGGAGCAGCAGGAAAGAGAGCCAAGAGGTGATGTAATGCTTAGAAACAGAGCTATAAAAGGAGGTCCAAAACAAGGTGAAAATCACTTGTTACATGGCTTCATGTCAACTCGGGTCTCTGTTCTGGTAACAGAATGGGACTCTACTTTGCATCCATCTCTGAACCTCTCCGCTGAAACTTTTCTTTTCTAACTGCTGTCTATTTTTGTTGAAAATAAACATGTTGGTAAAAGTTCAAGATTTTTTATCTGGCCTAAGTCTTTTTTTTACACGGCACTGTCTTCAGTGAATTTAAAAAGATACGTGCTTTTTGTAGGATCAATAGATTTGACGTATTTTTTACTTTTGATACTATGAACTTTTAAACCAGATACTTTTTCACTTTTACTTGAGTAGTATTTTACTGGATGACTTTTATTTGAGTAACATTTTAGTGTGGTATCTGTACTTTTACTTAAGTAGGAACATTTAGTACTTTTTCCCACCACTGAACAATGGTTATTCTACAAGAGGAGCTGAATTCCATCAGTCCTCTGAGTGTTTCTGATTTATGCACCACTGATGAACTGAAAAGTTGCCACAAATTTTCTTTTTCCTTCAGACTTTTCTGACATCACACATGTACCACAATAGAATTACTGAATTATGAACAGAGAAATGATTATTGTCTCTTGTCAACTACTAGAAATATGTCACTGAGCTGAACAAGGATGGAGACTCCTGGATTGGTCTACGGCCACAGAACGGACACAAACAGGATGGAAATGGAAATGGGTGGACGACTCGCCGCTGACAGTACAGTGAGACGCTTTTAAAGATTTTTGTTTCCATCACAATTCACAAGTCATTTAAAATAAGTTTTTAAAATTAGATGAAAACAAATGAAAAAAATGATGTGCTATACACAATTAATATTTCAAGTGAAATCCAACAGCTTCCTTCAAATTGAAAATAATCAGGAGTAACAACGTTTTATTTCTCCTACAGGTTCTGGGCCACAGGATTGCCACAGCAGCCCGGGGACCAGTACGCTGTAGTATGCTGCGATAAACAAGGAAAATGGACAGAGAGTAATCAAAATGACAATAAGAGCTGGATCTGTGAGAAAGACATTTCCTGATTTTGATGACAGAGGGATGTGTAGTGTTGGGATCAACTTTGTCATATTAGACAAATTCACATTTCACATTTGTTCAGTTGTATATTCTGTGTCACATGCTAAACAAACTGGATTATTTAGAAATAGTTCATCTGCCCTACATAGTGAACTGTCTGGTTGGAAGTCAGTGTTGGCCAGTAGCGTCGCTACAAGTAGCGCCGTTACTAGTTTAACTACAGTTGAATGAAATAGCTTTTCAGTAGCAAAACTCTTTTATTTGACCGAATAGCGTAGTAGTGTCCACACGCTACATTTTCTCGAGCATTTTTGAAGGATCGGTAAGTGACGTCTCCGCCACACACAACCCTGTATGTGTAGCTAGCGGAAGCACTTGAGTACAATACTAATAATTAATAAACAATGAAATGACATTATTAAAACTAAAGAAAGAGGAAAAAAATACCAAAACCAAACACAAAACATGTTACATTGAAAATGTGTCTTGCTTTTTGACAAGCACTAGAATTTTTCAAAGGAACAATTATTAAAATCACAAACAATATTAATGATAATGTGATCATTTTGCAGTAACTTTATACAAACAATGATTCTCAGTTTGCTGCATGAGGAATACATTTTGCTGCAATGATGGCAGTAAGTAGGAGAGTTTCTGTGTGATTCAGCTCTCTCTTGCGCACACACTTACTGCTTGTAGCAGGTTTTTATTCTTTCTTCTTTTGCTACTGTGGAATGAAGTAGGTTCAATATGAACTAGGCCTATAAAAGCTGCTTCCACAGACCACTTACTGATGGAGTTACACTTGGGAAGAGTAAAGACTGAATGTGTTTTGAACAGACAGATGCATCTGACGGTGAATCAAATGTCAATCCATCTTGAATGCTTGGCTGCGTTTACAATTGGGTTTTTTGCTATTCAAAAACTATCCAATCCACACAAGATGCTTTAACTGGCCAAGTATAAAGTGTTTTGGTAGCAGAATGTCAACTTAATTTTAACTACAACGCAATTGTCATCCATGGATACTGTGGAAATAAATGTTCATCAAACCTTTAACCTTGTCATTTCATATTGAGAAAGTAGCTAGGCTACATGTTGTCTTTCTGCATGCAAGTTTTTGGGCAGCCACAAATAAAGGCAGTCTGTGTCTGAACAAACTTCTGCTGCACTCAGGCAGCCTCATCAACAAAGGCTGTAACTGTATACAGTAAAGATATACAAGATAGTTAAATGATAACTTGCTGTTATCCCTGGTTATCCTGGTTAATAATAAGGTACAGTTATTTAGGAAATTGTCTTAAAAGTAAGTAGTTATAACTTCTCTGGCCTCTGACCTCTGGTGGACAGCACCCTATGTGGGGTTACAGACAGACACCACCCCGGTGGGGGAGAGCACGTCAGATGCTTCTCTGAACTTCCTTACCAAACTTGCTTTATAGAAAGACCCTCACTGGAATGCAGCAGGGGTTCTTCTTTGTAATCGGTGCAAGGTGTCCTAATTCTATCTCCAATTTGCCAAACCAACGTCAATCTGCGCCTGCAACACCGTCTTCTGCTGCCACCTTGCTTCACCACAGCAAGGTGTTCTGCTAACCGGGTGATTTGTCCTCTCTATCACCACTTGAGTTTAAATTTGTCACTGCTTCAACACCTGCTGCTTCCATTAATGGTCACTCTTATGTTGTTTAATCCTCCACACTGTGTTTCTACATTCAGATTCTGTCACTGTAACATCATTGTATGTGTAGTCGACATTTTATTGCATAAATTGTTGTGTCTTGTATCCATTAGTAGTGTTAGTAATAAATGTTTAAATATAAAGTTGTTGCCTTGTTTTCTGTAAGTTATGGTCAGTCATTTTACACATCCAGTTCCTTCGTCCTACCGAATTTCAGCTTAATTCCGAAACCAAATGCGTTACAGACGCTCTTGACTGATCAACAAGAGAAAATGTTTGAGTTTTGTTGTGTGGACGAAAATTAAAGTGGTTCCACTTAATACTTGTTATTAATGCTGTACTTCCCCTATATTGAGTTTAAAATGAATATTATGGTTGAGCATTCTTGAAGCTGCTGCTGTTCCTTGTGTGTGTTGTTACAACACAACAATAGCTATATTGTGGATTATCAAACTGTTGATACAGTTGCTGTGAAGCTAACATGTAGAAAGGATGAGACGGTCACAGAGCCAGCACACCAGCTCCAGACAGTGCTACTCACAACTATCCAGCTATTATAGCAAACATCACAACAACAGCATGTCAAGGTGAACTGGAATGTAAGCTGAATGTCCGTGGGCAAGTCATTTACTGTTAACTAACACACAAATCAAGGCTTGGATAATGTTGTGTGACGCGGTCACTTTGTTTGTTTATTACATTCACATTTATTCGTTTAGCTGACGCTTTTATCCAAAGCGACTTAAAATCGCTATTTTATGTCGCTATTTAGGTCGCACGCCTCTGGAGCAACTAGGAGGAGTTGAGTGTCTTGCCCGGGTCTCTCACACCAAAGGCACATGTCTTATCCACTGCTCCATCACCACCCTGTACAAACACCAGATTTGTTTTCAGTGCCCACAGAGGAGATATTCACTGAACAAAAAAAAAAAAAAATAGTGTATTTGATTAGAATAGCCTACCCACTTTTAAAGTAATAATCACATAAACTGCCATGTAGGCCAGTAAGCAACATTTTCAATCATCTCTTTTGTTTTGTTTTCAAAAATTACAAATAGTCATTTTTTGGCATCTAAGGTTTACAGAACCCCTAAAGGGGCTATATGTAAGTTTTTCAAAGAAATTAATTAAAAAGTCAAATTTTCATTGCATTAATATCAATGGGCTCAAAAATAATTTAGAAATGAAGCACATGCCTGTTTTCTCTGTAGCTTGCTTCAGCCACTATTCTGCTATGTATGTGATGACACCGGGTCGGATTCAGCCCTGTGCGCGCTCCCGAGCCTCTACAGCGACAACACCGCAGCTAACGACAAGCAGTACCACAAAACAACCGGCTCACAGCAAAACACAGACTCCACGTAAGGAAAAAAAACAACAAAGGTTCATGTGCTGAAGCCCACCAGACCAACCATATTCAGATGATGTCGAGTAAAAACACAGTGAACATGACAAAAGCTGGAGAAACACAGAGAAAGTCACATTAGCTTGCCGGCTAACGCCGAGCATTTGATAATGTTATCCAGTGCAAAGTTGTATCGCATCCCACATTACTTCACCAGCTAACGTGACCCATGCCTGTGTACCACAGGCATTATGTCAAAGTGTTGATTTAGCCTGCAAGAAAGGATGTAACAGTAAAAAACAAGTGTGGAGCTATTTGTTCTAATGTTAGCTGGCTGCATCACTATAGGCTAACACTACATTAGCTCGGACCTGCTACTGTTTGCTTTATAAACGTTCAATTTAGATTTATTGTGGTTTTACCGATACTCAGGTACACAGCTTCTCCACCTCTCAGTCTCTGTAACTAACGTGATCCACATAATATACTATACTGCAAAAAAACGGCGACAACAACACAGACGAAGAGCCCTCCACTAACACTTCAGTAAAGTTACTTATGGCGGTTTAAGTGTTATAAAGATTGACACAATCTCATTATAATATTCAGTCCAGCTCACTAACCATTTTGTTATTGTATTGTTGTGCTGACATTGCTGAGCTTCCGGTGAAAGATACAGATTGTAAAGATAGTTACTGAAAGCAGCAGGTGAGCTAATGCTTTAGCACGTCGGCTAAATGCAGTCACTGTACCGTGATCATGTAACGAGCATGGAATAGTCCAACCTCAAGCTGATAAAAATGTTACTGTAACGTTGCAGTGGGTGTTTACCTGAGTTTCCAGCATGTTGTGTGAAGCTGTCTCCCTGCCTGTCTATAGTCGCTGTCACTCCTTTTTTCACAAGTACTGTGCCGATATCGGGCTCACTGCGCTGTATGAAAGGTACAGAGCTGGTGTTGAGCTGCTTCTGAGCCGGGAACATTGAACAGCAGAGCCTGAACATGTCTGGAGAAAAGCCACATCCTGCATGCCGGTGTTTCTGCATTTATTGCAGGATTTCTGTATGAAAGCGGTTGTGTTTTGGATTATGCTCGCTCATTAGTTCAAGCGAGCACGCGTACGAGCACACACCTGGTTGTAATCTTAAAACCGCACCGCTAGTGGCCTCTGGAAACTCCATAATGCCCCTTTAAAATGTAAACCAAAACTTGTGCTCATCTACCAGACAGAACAAAAATAACTTTCCAGTCTACAGATTACATTTCTTGTGTCAGAGATGCCTCTGTGAGTGTACTGTATGGGGAAACAGGAATGCAGTATGAATGTGTGTATGTGAGCACATACACCTGCTGTTGAGTGAAAACCTTGTTCTTCCTCTATGACAAAAAACACTTATTTTTCAGCTTCAAATATCCTTCAAGGGTTCTTGAATTAACACTAACAAATATGTGTTGTTAAATCTGTGTTAGTGGAGTGTCCTGTTGTCACTTCCTGTTTTGAAAAATGCCCAACGCAAAGACAAACAAGCAGACAGTGAAACAGTTCAGTGAAGGTTTCAAAATGTCTGCAAGGATTCTCGCTGCACCAGATTCAAGCTTGAATGTGAGATATAACAGAAGAGTTCAAGACAACAGAGGAGCAGGAGAGGAGAATCAGGTGGAGATCTCAGAGGATGAAGAGCATCACGCTGGTCCTGGGTCACAAAATTGTAGTAAGTTTGAAATTATGTTGCAAAAAGGAAAGTTAATGTACATGTTTGTGTGGCTATATAAATTTAATTTATTCAAAATTCATCAGTCACCATTTACTATGGGTCATTATCAGGTGTCTTGGTGCTGTAAAGAGTCATTATTCTTACTGAGAGAATGACAAAGAGTAACAAAAACTCACAGTCCATAGTGGTCAAACTTCATTAAGCATAATAAAAAAAGTATGTATTTTGCCTCTGTAGGACCTCAGACTCTAAAGAATCGTGTCAGAAGAAGGTGTTTTACTGCAGCGACTCTGGGAGCGATGTATCTCTTGATATTGGCTGGAGTCTTCATACGCTGTGAGGAACTTGTTTTTAATCCTAATTGTAATAACTTGAGTCCCTATCCATTATTTGTAATGTTATGTTTTAAGCTTTTTTATCTGTTAACATAACAGGTGCATGTCCATGTAGTTTTGGTGTGGGGGATGGGGCTCTCTTCTGCGTCACATGCATGCTAGTTGTCTAGGTAGAAACAGTAGAGAGAGTTGTAGGGCCTATATGCGCCGGGCAGTGCCAGAAATTGTGAATATTTGCTGCTATATTTCTGCTATAGATTCTAGCTGGAGGGCATGATGACCCTTTGTTGCTGCAGCAGATACAGACACATCAGTGGGCCGAATGGAGATGATGTGCACACTGCCTTGTCCTGTTGGCTGGTTATCATCGGGACTAAACCCAAAATACCCCCAAATAACATCTCTGTATCAGGTTAATGGGAAGAGCAGCGTCTCTTTTGAAAGTGTTAAAAGTGATAACATGGATATTTCGAAATACCCTGGAATAAAATAAAACTGGGATCCCTAGCAGGCCTAAGAGTAAGGTGAGCACTCCCCCAAAAATACTGCCACTCTCTGGGCTATCATTATTTCTTGCAGAGTGCGTATATTTCCGAATACACTGAAAGAAACACTGTCATGCTGTATCCTTACGACTATTGGTCACTATATTGTGTTGCCTGGAACTTTTTATCCAGACTCCAGTGTTTAAGCTAACAGATTTCATCAATGTGCGGTGTCGAAGACAGCAGTTCACTGAAATGCTGGTGTTTTGAAATGAGAACAAAGTGCAGGAATTCTCACTTCTTCACATTCTTATCTTTTTTTGTTCCAGCCTGCTCAGAGCCAAACTGCTGCATTGATTATTTAATGTATAATTATACAGTCACCCCACAGATAGACCCTCAACTATTAAAGTATTCCTTATCTCAGAGATCTCAAAGTATCAGACATCTTAAGTTCATTAATTCATAGAAATTAATTGTTTAGAAATGCAGAATGTTTTGGTGTTGTTGGTGTGTTTCTTATGTTGTTGTGCTTCTCACCAGATATTTCAGTCACTTTGGAAAAAGACCAGCTGCAGACCAGATACGACAAACTGTACAACAACTACAGCGAGCTGCAGGGACAAATTTCAGTTAAGAAAGGTTTCAAAACAAATAAGCAAGTACCAAAATACACAGCATCCAACTTCACAATGCTTATTAAGCATTAATATTTTTATATTGTCTTACTTTTTGATCTCTTGTTGTTTTTCTCAAGGCATGGCAGTCAACAACAGTCAGTTGAGTAAAAATAACAGTTACAAGATGAAGTAAAGCACCTGAAGGACAAAATTGATGGTGAGAAAGGTTTACAGTTAACACTAACATCTCACCAACTCACATGCTATAACTTAACTTGGCCTTTAATTTTCACTGTAATTATTTAATGTTGTTGTGTGTTTATTTATGTTAGAAATGAGATGCAAAACCTGAGTCTATTTATTGACTAAACAACAAATGACAGAAAAGATTGATATTTAACTAAATAGTGAAACTACAGGTTTTATCAATTTAACAGTGAATGGCATGAAATCCATATTTGAAACACTCGTTTGTAAAATAAGGGAAGTGGTGTCCTGAAGGATGGAAGAGATTTGGATGCAGCTGTTACTCTAAGTTCAATGGGGAGAAAACTTGGTCTGGCAGCAGATGGGACTGTCAAAGGAAAGGAGCAGATCTGGTGATCATAAACAGCAAAGAGGAACAGGTGAGTGTCCGATCTTAGATTTAACTGCTAGTGATCTGTAACTTGTGTTTTAACCTTCAGTTGGCTTCCTACAACGGCGTATTAAGGCCATTGTAGATTTTTTTTAAAGATGGAGTCAAGACAAGAAAAAAAATTCTCAGAGATTAAAGTCGTACATTGGCAAAATTCATAAAAAAAATCTGAGGAAGAACTGCATTTATAAATGATGTGACACATGCTTTCAAGTGGCTTTGTTGGGGTGCGTGGATATACAACACAACCCTACAGTGAGATTGCATGATATGATTCTCTTATATGCTTACTTATTACTTATGATTGCTCATATGATACTCAATATTGTGTGGCATGCTTATCTTAGGTAATTCAGAAGTCAAGACAGTTAGAAGCTTGTGCTGAATGACAGGAAACCGGGCCCTGATAGCAATACACTCTGACACACTTCACACTTTTCTTAATACAGTCACGCACACACACGTTTGCAGCCCTTAAGGCGCACTAGAACATGCTACATAAACTGACTTCACCATATATGGATATCTATACAAGACAAGCAGGGGTGTGGTCTCCTAAATATATACTCAGGCTTAGCAGAAGAACAGCAGACTTGCTGTTAGGCCGTTGTGCTGTGCATGTCTCCAGATATATCGGTTTGCATTTCTTTAATAAATATTTGGTATTGAACGGACTTCTCAGACTCTTCTCAGTTCTTCCCTCATCAACCAACTCGGGGGAGGTCGTTGCACTTCAACAGGTGCCTCAAATCTGCCTAATTGATTGCAAGCTCCACCTCTTCTCTTACGTCTGCACAGACTCTTGTCTTGTATTTTTTAATGACTGAAAACAACTTGGAAAACCAGCATGTCCTCAACTGAAAAACGTCTTATAGGTTGATTGTGCAGCAGTTTATTAAGACCAAGATTTACGCTTTTTTGTTAGGCTGCAGCCCTTTAGTGGCCCTCAGGAGGAAGTCAGGTGACAAAGTATAAAGAGCAAGCAATTCAAGATGGTAAACGATGGGTCAAACGAAGGACTTTCACCCAGGAGACCAGAGATCACGTCAAATGCGAAACCAAGTCAGTGTTGGCTTTTTAAAGTTTTAAGTTAAATAAAGTTACATCCGTGACTTTTTTAACCCACAATCTTTTAAACCTAACCAAGAACTTTTTTACCTAAACTAAACAATAACTGTTTCACAACGTTAACCACGTGTTCAACGTCACTACTTATGTAACTTACTTAATATCCAGTATGTCATTTGACCTATTTTGTCATTTAGGTATGAGGATGTGTTACGCTGTCGCAGCTTCCTGTCTTGACCCTGTCAGATTTATTTGCCCGTTCGGGTAGCCTTCCGGTCCCATACTGTAACCCTGTTTATGGACTACCGATTCTAGTAAAATACCTGTAATTCACCCCAGTTTGACTCTGTGTACTGTAGGCATGTGGGCCCACTTCCTTTGACATAAGGTTCTTCCAAAGCTGTGAATATTATTTTCATATACTTTAATTTATTCAAAGACTTCTGCATGAATAGAATCCTAAAGAGTATAGCAGAAAAAAGAATGAAATGGAAATTTTTTAATATTAATAAACACAATTTTAAATATTTGGACAAACCCTCAAAATGTATTCTGTTTTCTCTTTTTCTCTGCTGATTATAAACGGCATTCTCCACCTTCCTCTATTACGAATGTGTGCTTGCTATCATGTTGTTGTGACGAGGCCCTAGTTTGTGGATCCCCCTGTGTTTGTTATGGCTTATTGTCAAAGTGACATAAAAAGTTAAAACTTCAGTCTGACTGTTTGTCATGATCCCATATTATTAATTAATCGCATGTTTGTACTGTCTATTTGACAGAATGGTTAGTCTACTAAAGGAGCTGAAATTATGGAATTATGAATGGAGAAATTATCATTGTCTCTTGTCAAATACTAGAAATTTGTCACTGATCTGAACAAGAATGGAGACTCCTGGATTGGTCTACAGGCCACAGAAAAACGGACACCAACAGGATGGATACGGGAATGGGAGTGGGTGGACAGCTCGCCACTGACAGAAACGTGGGACGTTTTAAAATTTTTTTTGTTTCCATCACAATTCCATTTGTTAGTTAACTGAAGTATGTTTTAAAAAGTAGGATGAAACCAACAATAAACAAATCAATTTACAAAACTGAATTGTGTGAAACAAGTTATTAACAATCTAGTTGCTATATAATACTGATAATATAATTATTTGACGTGAAATCCAGCAGCTTACATCAAATTTAAAATAATCAGGAGTGACAACGTTTTATTTGTCCTACAGGTTCTGGGCCGTAGGATTGCCACAGCAGCACTGGGACCAGTACGCTGCATGCTGCAATCAATATGGGCAATGGACACAGAGCATATACTATAACCAAAAGAACTGGATATGTGAGAAATAAGCGTCTTGTTTTTCTTGATGACACAGTGGTATAGAGTTGGGGACACATACAGCATGTTTCTTAGCTTTTTTAATGCCTTTATTTTTGACATGATTAACATTGGTCCCAAATCTTCAATCTTTTTTCTCTGCTCCTCTACACTGTTTTGGATCTATTATTATCTGCATGTAGCAGAACAAAGACTTTATTCAATCTAGCTGCACTTAAAGGCCGGGTCTGTTATTCTGAAGAAATCCAAAACCGTGACAAATATCATGATCTTTAGCGAACAGTGACACAGCAAGTTATGTAACTACTGTTAGCCAAGTTATGAGTTGGCAAACAGTTGTTGCTGCAAAGCTAACATGAAGTCAACGTGAACGGAGTATGAGATTGTCCCAAAGACAGCACACCAGGTCCATACAGCGATACTTGCAACTCTTCTTCTATCGATATCACAACAACATGTCTTGGCAAACTAGAAAGTAAGCTAAATGTCTGTGGGCAATTAATTAAGCATTACCTGACACACATCATGGCGATAATAGTGTTGTGTGGATCGCTTAGAGCAACTTTGTTTCACATTTACAGAACCAGGTCTGAGTACAAACACTGTACTTTATTTAAGCACACACAGAGCGCACGACAAGTGGACCGTGATGACAAAGTGAATCTGACAAAAACACATGTTTTGGATTAGAATAAGGTAATGACGACATACCCTGCATGTGTGTCAGTAAGGAAGATATTCTGTCATCTTTCTTTTATTATAAAAATTTGTTTAACGTCTTTAGGTTATCATCATGATTGACCCATTAAAGCTCAAATCAAACTTGTTGTCTGTGAGTATTCTGTAAGGGGAACCATGAATGCAGCTATGCACAAGTGTATGTGAGCACATACCTCTGTTGTTGGTTTGTAATTCCTTAATGTCCACAGAAAATCAACTTTCAACTTAAACTATCTAAAAGTATATTTGATGTCTAAATTCAAGTCAAGTGGGGCAATCAAATCAACAGACAAATATGTTTTGGTGTGCAGTGGTTTGTCCTGCTCTCACTTCCTGTATTGAAGCCGCCCAACTCCAAGACAAACAAGCAGACAGTGAAACGGTTCAGTAAAGTTTTCAGTTTTTCAAAATGCCTGCAAGTATTATCCTTGCTGCACCAGATTCAAGCTTGAATGTGAGATATACCGAAAGAGTTCAAGAGAACAGACGAGCAGGAGAGGAGAATGAGGTGGAGATCTCAGAGGATGAAGAGCATCACACTGATCCTGGGTCACAACAAGCAAGTAAGTCTGAAATTATGTTCTAAAAAGTAAGTTAATGTAATGGTTATTTAAAGATTTGATACAGAGTGTCTTGGTGCTCTAATCTGGTGCCACGAGAGTCATTAATCTTATTGAGAGATTGACAACGAGTAACAAACTCCACAGAGTGGCCACTTTAAACTTCAAACAACCATAATCAAAATGTTCTCTCTGTATTTTGTCTCTGTAGGACCACAGACTCTAAAGAATCGTGTCAAAAGAAGATGTTTTACTGCAGCGACTCTGGGAGTGATGTATCTTCTGATATTGGCTGGAGTCTTCATACGCTGTGAGGAATTAAGTTTTTAATCCAAATTATCCTAACTTAAATCCCTCTCTGTTTTTTGTAATGTCATGTTTTAAGTTTTTTTTCTCTGTTAGATAACAAAACAGTTGCATGCAACAGACATGCTTTTGGGGAAAAACACTGAAGTTAGTCAGCACCAGTTCATGCTCCTGTTACTCTGTGTAGAAGAGGAAGACAAACAGAATTTAACAACACTTGAAATACATAAATCATTTGCAGTTAGGTGAGCACTGCCGCAAAGATATTAAATCTTGATGAATATCACATATTTTTTTGCTGCAGCCCATCTAGTCAGTCTGTAGATGGGATTGAGCCTCAGCAGCGACAGATCATTCCAGATGTTTTGCCTGATAGGCTTGAATTTTTTGGATATGCAGAAAGATTTGATTATTGTTGGTGTGTTTATCATGTTGTTGTGGTTCTCACCAGATATTTCAGTCACTTTGGAAAATGACCAGCTGCAGGCCAGATACAACAAACTGTACAACAACTACAGCGAGCTGCAGGGGAAAGTTTCAGGTAAAAAAGTTTTCAAACCAAATATGTGAATACCATAATACACAGCATCAACAAAGCATTACGAAATACTAAGTTAAAATTACAGTTACAGGATGAAAGCAGCTGAAGAACAAAAGTGAATGTGATGAACGTTTAAAAAACTACCCGTGAACACCAATTCACCTGATATAACTTGACCTTCACTACCATTAGTTTGAATTTGAATTATTTTATTCTGGAAGTCTATTGCTATGTGTTTCTTTCTCTTACACATGAGATACAAAACTTAAGTGTATTTATAGAGTAAACAACAAGTGTTGGCAAGAAAGATCTTAAATTAAATAATAAACGTACAAGGCTTATTAATTTGACAGTACATGAAATCACATCCATCTTTTAACATTCATTTGTCACGAAGGGAAGTGGTGTCCTAAAGAATGGAAGAGATTTGGATGCAGCTGTTACTTTAAATCCAATGAGAACAAGTCTTGGTCTGACAGCAGAAGTGACTGTCAAAGGAAAGGAGCAGATCTGGTTGTCATAAACAACAAAGAGGAACAGGTGAGTGTGTTTGTTACCGAGTGTGTGATCTTAGATGTAGCTGCCAGTGATCTGTTACTTCTGTTTTGGACTTGTTGTCCTCATCAAATGAGTTTAACACAACGCTGACTAAACCAATACCAAAGTTTTTAAATCTGGTATCTATGGTGACAAACCAGTATTGATGTGTTTTATGCCAACCAGATTAGTTTGCCAAAGCTGAAGGGGAAGCTACCATACTGGAGCCTATAGATTATCAGCACATGTCCACAGTGTTGTGTAATTACCTACACTGTCAGACAGACAAAAGTTAAGTACTGCAGGTTTAAAGTAAAACATCTGCAAAAAAAAATCCAGTTTGTTATTGAAGGCTCTGTACTCTATCAAAAGCTGGCTATACAGATGTTAATAACAACAGCTGTCATATCTAAGCTACTTCAATCAGCAGTATTATGAGATAATTCCTCTTGTACAAGGACAAAAATTATAAAAAAATTGGGGAAGAACTGCAGAGATTTATAAGTGACTAAGGTGTGACACATCCCCGCATATCTGCCAAACTGTGTGAAAGCTGCATCTTTTCTATTATGCTTTCACGGACTAAAATTTCAAATTTAATCTCAGAAATGTTTAGATTTTTCCCGTCCCCTGCTCAGTAATTTAAGAAAAAAAAAATCTACAATGGCCCTAACATGCCATCGTAGCTTCCTGTGTTGACCCCGTCATATTTACTTGTCCTTTTGGTCCCACAAATTACTACAATGAAATTACTAAAAACGGAAAATTATTATGGACTGTCTTATACTAGGATTTCATCATTGGGCTGAACAAGGATGGAGATTCCTGGATTGGTCTACTGGCCATGGAAAAATGGACACAGACAAAACGGGTATGGGAATGGGAATGGGTGGACAGCTCGCCGCTGACAGAAACGTAAGACGTTTTAAACATTTGTTTCTGTCACAATTCCATTTGTCACTAAACTAAAAAAAAATTAAAACATGAAATAAAAACAAATACAGGTTATATTAATTTATAAAACTGAATAATAGGTTAAACAAGTCATTACCAATATACATTACCAGTAATATTTCTTCATTACTGATTAGGAATGGGGATGGAGACCCGGTTCTATAAGCAGGGTACCCCCAGGGTAAATTTAAGACTTTTAAAGACTTTTTAATACCACATTTGTCACCACTCTTCATAGGCTTGATGCTGCTTATCTTCATTTTAGTAGACAGGTGGGCTGGCCAACTAGCTAAGCTAGCTCGCTTTCTGAAAACACGATAGTAATCAAGCTAATAATCGGAATGATCAATACACAATATACAAAATGTACAGCTTATTGTAAAAGTGGCTAAAATAAAAGATGACAGCACTAACAAAAAACATTTTATACATGTGACAGTTAATTATGACGTTACAGTATTTAATTAATCCTATGAAAGGACAAGAATGTATGAGACCTTTGTGAATGAAATTTCAATCCTTTTAGGCCTTATTTTAAGACTATTAAATTCAGTGCTTTTTTAATACTTTTAAGACCCCGCTGGTACCCTGTATAATGACCTGGTTCCAAGTTTCTCAAAACCTGAAAAAATCAATAAGGTTTAAGCTTGTCAATACTGCTAGCAGTCTAGCAGGTCCTATAATGTAACGTTATGTCTCTCAAGACATTAAAGGATCTGCATTACATTATAAACTCAGCTGCTGGCTAAGATAAACCAGCCCGTCTCTACCAGGTAGCGTTACCTGCAAGCAGTGAATCAATATTAATAAAAATTAACAATCACCATCCCTAATACTAATAATAAAAATATGTGAAATCAGTGAAAAACAGCTTACTCTAAATTAAAAAACTGTCCTCCAGGTTCTGGGCAGCAGGATTGTCACACCAGCCCTGGATCCAATACACCGCATGCTGCAATCAACAAGGACAATGGACACAAAGCGGATTTTATGTTCTTAAGAACTGGATCTGTGAGAAATAGACTTGTTTTCATCTGAAGACCAAAGAAAGATGACAAGGATAAAATGTATTACACATCCCATGGTGTTTCATGTGCATGAAACAGAGCAAATTCTTCATTTAATCTTGCTGCAAGTAATAATAAGATACTCTGCATGTCTGTTAGTAAGATTTTTCAGTTTGTTTTGGCATTTTAAGTTTCTTATCATCGTAGAACCATTCAAACCTAAACCAAAACTTGTCATGTAGTTCCGTTTACCAGACAGAACAAAAATAACTTTCCAGTCAATACGTCACCTTTCCTGTGAGATGCATGTGTGTGAGTGCACTGTATGAGGAACCAGGAATGCAGCAATGCACATTTGTGTATGTGAGCACATACACCTGCTGTTGAGTGAAAAATGTGTATGTGTATTTCCTCAATGGCATTGACAACAAGAATCTTTATTTTTCTGGATCAAATATACTTATTTATACACCTGTAGTTTGTCTAAATTGGGATTAAATTAAGTGGGGTTCTTTAATTAACAGTAACAAATGTGTTTGGTGTGCATCTGTGTTAGTAGTTTGTCCTGCTCTCACTTCCCCAACTCAAACAAGCAGACAGTGAAACAGTTCAGTAAGAGTTTCAGTTTTTCAAAATATCTGCTGCACCAGATTTAAGCTTGAATGTGAGATATACCAGAAGAGTTCAAGAAAACAGAGCAGCGGGAGAGGGAAATGAGATGGAGCCCTCAGAGGATGAAGAGCATCACACTGATCTTGGGTCACAAAAATGCAAGAAGTCTGAAATAATGTTGTAAAAGGGAAGTTGATATACATTTTTGTGTGGATATAGTATAGTTAGTTATTGAGTAAACTGATTATTCAATCAGTCATCATTCACAATGGTCCATTATCAAGTGTCCTGGTGCTGTAATCTGGTGCCACAAGAGTCAATATTCACATAGAAACTCCCCAGTTCATAGTGGCCACTTAAATGTTTTCTATGTAGTTTGCCTCGGTAGGACCACAGACTTTTTGGAATCATTTCGAACGAGTTTAATTTAATTTAGAGATTCTGAAAGATAAACAAATAAGCCCAGTAACATACTGAAATCAACATCATTGTTATAGGACTTTATACACAACACAGTTGATTTGAAGTACTTGGGAATCGGTGCATGGATCACCGCTGACAATAAGGTGATCACAACTGTGTTGTCTGGTGTTTACTGTTTATTTACTATATATATGTATATGAAAATAAAACCACTGGTCCCAACTCCTAGTTGACACTGCACTTCAGTATTTTACCACGTGAGGGCGCCTGCTGATTGAAGTTTATATACTTCTTTGCGGACCTTTATTTTCCGGCCAAAAATGGTGAAAAGTAGTACTTAAACTAATACAAAAAATGTCTGAGGTCTGAAATTCAAACTAATCTTTTTCGAACTCCTGTAACTTCTAATGTGTGGGAAAGTTGCGATGAACAAATAAGCTGGACACCCAGCAGAAAGAAGTGATCTGGATCTGTGAGAAGTTGATGTGAAATGTGTCCCCATAATAACTATACATGAAATTAATAAAGTTGTTGTGGGATTACTGTAAAGTCAAACCAAAAAAATAAAAGGTAGGTTGTAGGTTTTGCATAGTTTGTATCACTAAAGGGATTAATAATGTTTAATTAAGTTTGGTTGGGTTAAGATGTGATAATAATTCCACTGCTGACGAAAGTCACAGTAAAGCAAAAGTGAGAGGTTAAAGACATTTACATGGTTGCAAAAACAGACAATTCCCCATTACTATTATTATATTAATGAATGTCCAACTATCTAGACACAATGGTGGGAATATGATTTTTATTTTTACTCCTTAAAACTGGTTCCTGACTCAACTACACAAGTGAAGATTCAATGTTGTTAAAGTGAAAGATCCAAGATAAGAACAACCAGCAGCTTGCTAATCTGATACAGCACGAAACCCAACTGATAAGTACTGCACACAAATGTTGCACAATTTTAACAATATGGTTCACTGCACTGCTCCAGAAAATGTACAAATAGTGAACCGACCTTTAGTGGAAACAACAACAAACATTTCTATAAACAGTATTTTACTTTTGATCTACTGCAGATTTATTTTCTGTTGTTGCTATTACAGTCAACAAAAACTCAACACTTCCTCAACATAAACAAAATGTTTTGATTTTTAATCACAACTGTTACTTTATGTTAATGTTAATAAATGACTATGGGCTGATTAATCGTCACATCCTTTTAAATGTAAAATATCAATATCAGTATTGGCCTCACGAATCCAGTATCAATTAAGCTATAGTTGTGTTACATCAAGAACTGTGACCTGCCATGTCACCAATCTTAGCTATGGCACACTAAACAGGGTTTTTTCTTTTTGGATGCGTTTCAAATTTCTTAGTTAGACCCACTGCTTTCAACACAAGCTAGGTGGAAACCTGCTGAAATCCACTGCAGTATTGCTAAAACTTAAAATATCCAGCATCTATATTTGAGGTTTGTCTTGCTGCTACTTCCTTGATGCCCCCTGTTTAAAAGCTGAAGTGAAACACAACAGAGGAGACAAAATGGGTGGAGGAGAAAAAGAGGAGAGCAACATGGAGATCTATGAGAATGAAGACACTTTGGAAAACATTATGATTATATTGATTTCAGTTCCCATGAAGTCAATAAGTATAAAATAACAAAGTCTGCATGGTGCACAGCTGGGAGGGAAGTGCAAACAGAGGCTGAATATAGCAAGTTTGTGGTATTTTGGTGGAAGCAAGTCTGTTTCTAGCACAAAGTCACTCCTTGCCAATTTGTTCTTTTTTTTCAACAAGAGCAAATGTGCAGCAATAATGGAATAATGGTTAAAATCTTAATGAACTATTTTCATTAAACTGAGTCAAATCAGCGGATGCCTTTAAAACTGCATCAAAAATGACTGTGTGAGAAGGTCAGAGCAGGTTGATAGCAGAGCAGTTGCTTCGATTACATAAATTAATAATTCTCAAACTATTGTTCAGAGCTGCCATATTCTATATGAAAACTAACTGAAGACAGCAGGAAAAACATGTTGATAAATCTGCCGCCTCATGATTTGAGGAATAGTCCAAGACCTACAACTTTGTGCTTGTATAATATAAATAATATTGCACCAAGAGTCTCTATCCCTGCATTCTTAACCCATTTAAAGTCATCTTGGCTGTTTCACTGCACTGTAGTCATCAGAAAATTACTGTAAATGACACAGAAAGAGGGAGAAGGGGACAGGATCCGATCCAAGAGACACTCCGATTGACATTCATATACGGACTGATGCACATCTACTGCTACATAGAACGGAGGCTTGTTAAAGTAGAGACATAGTCATATCTGTGTTATTATGTATGAACTCTGTTCTTGGGTACTATTATCAGGCATGGTGGCAATAGCTACATACTGTCCAAACAAGCCAGCACCTACCAATTGAGTACACACATTGCGCAGGCTATGCGAGGCAGTGTTGTAGTTACATTGTAGTCAACCGGGATAACTAGGCTCTTACAGACACTGCACTCTGCAGTCTTGCACCTTCCCTTCTCTCCTCCATACTAATACGTGCACACAGAAACATTAACACATTACAAGATATCTGGAAGTACCCTGAGCTGTGACACACAGTTGTGCTCAATGCCATTTTGTGGGTAAGAATAAGGAAAGGTCATTTTGGAGTCCCAACGTGGTTGAAATTGTGATTGTTAATCCATGGTGAAGTGAATAAATTCTGTTTTACCTTTGAGAAATCATTGTTGGTGGATATTGTGCGTGGTATTGTGACAACAGTTGGTTGAGACCGAGTATGGACTCTCCCTTCAGTATTAGCCTATTAATTAATTAATTATGTTTCATTATTGATAGTTTATAGGTCAACACCCTTTAGGAGATACTTCTGAAGTCTGGCTATTGGTCCCAGTACTTACTAATGTTAACTAGTAATTTGAAATATGAATTGTATTAATATTTAGAGACTACATTTGATATTCAGCTTATAACCTAACCTCCTACGTTGATCCCCGACATTCGTTTGGAAAAACCAAATGGAACAAATCTGTATCTGTGGTTTGTCTTAGCGCTACTTCCTTGATGCCCACTGTTTCAAAGCTGCCACACACAGTGAAGATTAGGATCAGTTCTTTCACCTCTCAAGATGTCTACAGGCATTCAAGCACCAGATCTGAGTTTAAATGCGAGACGCAGCAGAGGAGACAAAAAAAACAGAGGAGAAATAGCAGAGAGCCACGTGGAGATCTATGAGAATGAAGACACTCTGGAACACAGTCATTTGATCTTTGGTAGAATGAAGTCAGTAGGTATAAAATAACTAAATTTTGTTTTTTAAAAGGGGACGTCTGATTAAATCCTGAATAATAACTATTATTCCATTAAACATTTGTACAAAAGAATAGTTTATTATCAGTCCTAGAAAACTTTAGCACGTGTTTATGGACTGCTCTTTGCCGTGGAGACTTTCAGACTTTGAAATGCAAATTAGTGCCACTTCAGCTAAAATGGTGTAATGTTTTTACTAAGCAGCTAATAATTTGAAAAAGCACCTTCAAATGTGCTTCATAACAACATGTTTTACTGTACTTTGTCTCTGTATGACAACTCAATCAGAACAATAATTCAGCTGTCAAAAGAAGCCGTTTCAGAGCTGTGATTCTGGGAGTGCTGTATCTTCTGATATCAGCTGGGATCTTCATGCGCTGTGAGGATTTGCTTTTTTTACCATATCTATATTTTCTCTCCTGACAGTTTGGTGAATTTTCTCATCTTGTAATCCTCTTTGCCCTGACTTTGTCTGTTATCTGTTTGGGTACCCCAGCAAAGTGTGCATGGTGCACAAGTGGCGAAAAGCTACTGTGGTATGCACTATTTGGCCACATCTGATAGTAAAAAGTTTTTTTTTCCATTTTGTGGTATACTGTATATCATCGTGTTGGCACAGATCAGCCTAACAGTAAAGAACATGTTCTGATGTCAAACATGACTAACCAAGATAAAAACAACCAGCAGCTTGCTAATCTTATGCAGCACAAAACAGCACTCAGAACTATTAGTAACAAAAAGGTTGCACAACTTTAACAATATGGTTCATTGCACTGCTCCAAAACAGACAATTTTAAAATAGTATAGACATGCTTGCATTTCTATAAACAGAACTGTATTCATTATATTGAAGTAAGACTGCTCTCTGTTTTCTGATCTGCTGCAGTTTGTTTTCCTGTTGTCGCCAATCGGAGGTCACTAAGATTAATGTTGAATCGGTGTGTACATATGCAAAAACAATGTCGGACACCGTAGTTTTCTCTGGACCCCTGCCAAATCTGACCAGTGACGGCCGCATGTCCTCATTTTGCCGCTGGTTGTCAAGGTGGTGTCCAGCAAACGATGTGGGCTTTGTAGATCATTGGCAGACTTTCTCGGGAATACTTGGTCTGACTCGGAGAGACGGCATCCATCCTCTCATTTCTAGAAATCTGGCCAAGTTTGTTAGTGGACCAAATCCATGACAATCATAAGTTGAGACCAGGAGGCAGAGTCAAAATCTATTTTATTTTATATTCTAATTTCTCTGCCCTTCTATTTCAGCAGTTACCCACCCAAAACCTCTACTCCTCTATTTCAGGAGTTAACCAGTCAAAACCCCATAGTGACGGTGTCTGCCCCCAGACCATTGAAATTATTTAAATCAAAGGTAAACAGAAGAGGAGCTGCGCATAAAAACCTCAAAAAAATTAAAACCACAAATGCAATAGTGCAAATGAATAGGAGAATTAAATGTGGACTCTCTCTTCTAAAAGGTGTACTACTAAATGAATTAATATCAGATTATGATATTGATTTATTTTGTCTTACTGAAACCTGGCTGGGGGATGGAGAATATGTTAGCCTAAATGAATCCACCCCTCCCAGTCATATTAATACTCACATTCCACAAGGCACAGGCCGAGGAGGCGGAGTTGTAGCTAGACTCTAGCCTACTAATCAGCTACTAATAAATTACAACAAATTTGAAAGCCTTGAAATCACTGCAACCAATTCTTTTTGTTATAGTGTACCGAGCACCTGGTCCGTACTCTGAATTTGCAAAGTTTTTGTCAACTTTAATCCTTAAAATGGACAACGTTATTATTGTAGGGGATTTAAATATTCATGTGGACGTAGAGAATGATAGCCTAGTACTGCATTTATCTCTCTATATTGGACCACTGTTAACTGATTGCTGAACTACACGCCATTAGCCAAACATTTCTATATAAGATGTCTGATAGTGCTCTAGCTAAATTTAAAGGTGTGATTCCATCAGCTTTTAATTGTTTATCAAGTCACAAAGTAACGGAGGGCCTCACTGCCAAATCGAGCTCCCTAACCGGCATAGGGTTTAAATACAGTGGAGAACTTTCAGACAAACTACCCTCTCTCCCCAGTGTAAATAGGATCTGATGTTATCACTGCACTCACTGCTATAATATGTGTATCAAATACACAACAGTTGTATTAAGATTCAGGATTGATGTTGAGGAAAAGTGTGTTTTTTGCATTAACAAAGCTGAAAACATTTGTCATTCATTTTGTGTTTCTTTAAGAACATGACTTTAGATATTTACAAAAGGGAAATATATTCTTTTATGAAAAGTGTGATATTCATAGTAAAGAAAACATTTATTTGAACTATATCTTAGCCTAGGCCTATATGAAAAATATTAGTCACAAATACATTTCAATAGTCTATAGATCATATTGATGCATTATATAGTCTGAAGAAGTTAAAATGTATAAAGACTTGGAATTATTTTTCTTTAATGCCGTTGTTGCTTGTTACGTGATCCCCCTGTGTACCCGTTGTGTCATATTCTATTATCTGTTGTTTACTAAATCCATGGACTGTCAGATTATTTGTCACCCTATGCATGCTGCACACCTCTGTGAAGCTAGGAGGCTCATTTTTATCCACACCAAACACACATCAAAATCCAAGCATCTAAATAAACTTATAACAACATAATTCA